CGCTTGCGGCAGGAGGCAATTTTTTATGCGTGAAGGGCGTCGCCTTGTGATGTTAGTTCGTGATGGTGTGGTGCGTCGTCTAGTCAATGTGCGTGCAGTGTGCTTATTCTCTTATCGTAGCATTTTTCTTGGATCCTTGTTGAAATCCATCATTCTTTTAGGGAGCTTCCCATCTTTATCTTCCTCTTCACTGACGTAGGTTGATTCTTGGATCTCTTTCCCAAATATGATCATATCATCTCTTCCTTCTTGAAAAAGATTCGTCCTCGAATCAAATTTGTACCCTACACATAAAGGAAGCAAGTTAGTAATTTCGAGATGTACACTATACTTACCATGGAGAGCTCTCTTGAAGTCTTTTGGTATTAATGCTCTCGTTGTCCTTCCATTGAACTTCCTTTTAAAACATCTTCGTTCTTTCCAAAAGTACTTCCAAACCCAATCACTTGGTTTGTTGATATTATGCTTGGATTTCCTTGTCCTCCATTTGATGCTTGGCGTTTGAATTCTCCAACATAGCAATTGGTGTTCTCGGTCATGGTGTTGTTTCGAGGACTTTTTGAACAAGTATTTCTCCATGATTCTTGGCCATAATTCTACTTGTTCGTGATCACCTACACGAAAACGAAACAAGTTAGTATCTTCAAAATTAATATTTTTCTTATACTTATGTTGTAAAGTGATCTCAAGATCATATGAAGATGGTAGGATGAGTCTTTTTGACTCCATCTGGTAATCTTTCTCCGTAGCTTTCAACTCTACTTGGTTCCAACCATGATGGTAGTTAAGAGTTGAAATCTCCTGTAGAACTCTCAAAACAATACAAGCACTAGGATAAAACATAATAGCTTGAAAGTGAGGATTCTTATCCAACAATTCCTTGAGATTTTGCTTGGCATAATTGCTTGGTACTTCTCTCCTTTCCTCTTTTTGCTCTCTACCCCTATATTCTCACTTTGATCAAAATTTGATTCTCCATGTGTTGGTTCAAAAGTAGATATTTTATCAATTTGAGAAACTTTAATATCCAAGAGACTTGGAGTAGTATGCAAGTCACAAAGAATCTCATTTTCTAAGTTACTATTTATCTCAACAATGGGCGTGCTATCACATAATAATTTGTCACCAATAGAAATGTAATGCATGGTTGTGCCACTGTCAAGCTCACTGCTTTCCTTTTCAACCTTAGCCATATATCATTATTTCCTTGCAATCAAACA